AATCCGGAGTCGCCTTCAGAGCTTCCTCTGTTTTATCACTCTTGACATGCTTCGTAGCATTCGAGAATGGACTACTCAACATGCACGTCACACAGAGCAGCTGGATTGGTTCATGGATCTCCCGGAACTAATGGCATTTATTTCAGTCATTATTTTGAGGGGGTTGATAAAGGTTCCATCACTATGTGACAGCTGGTCAGCAAACCTGGCAAACCCAAGGATCATTGCAACTAGGGCCCGAAACCGCTTCCAAGACATCATGCAACACCTACACTTTGATCACATGTTTACACGCAGTGAGCGAGTGGAGACCGATAAGTTTGCTGCAATCTCTGATGTTTGGGGATCGTTTGTCTCTAACTACATCGCATCCTACAACCCTGGTCGACACATCACTATTGATGAACATCTTTTTTCATCAAAGACTCGCTGCTGTTTCCTGCAATACATTGCAACAAAACTGGACAAATTTGGCATCAAGTTTTGGGTGGCTTGCGACTTGAAATCAAAGTACATCTGAAATGTCTTCCCATATCTTGGCAAGGACCCCATTCGTCCCAGTGGGGAGAGACTGTCCGAGACTGTAGTGATGAGGCTGATGGAACCCTTCATGGACAAGAAGTGTAACCAAGGACAATTTCTTTACATCACTGTCACTTGCACAACGACTGCTTAGCCACAGTAAACAAGAGACGCCGGGAAATTCCTCAATCCACTAGAAAGATGGATCGCACTGAATTCACCACTCAGGTGTTTTCAATCACTGGTGCCACACTTACAGTGTATGCGCCCAAACGGAAGAAGGCAGTTTACGTTCTCAGCAGCATGCACAGCGTGGTTGAGACTGAGGATACCACCAAAAAGAAGCCAAACACGGTCATACAATATAACATAAAAAAATTGCGGTGTGGATGTGATGGACCAAATAGTGCGGGAGTACAGCGTGCGTGCAGGAACACTGAGATGGCCAGTTGCTGTGTTCTACAACATGATTGACATGGCAGCACTGAATGCACATGTGCTTTATCAGGCACGCATTGGGGTGCAGGAGAGACTTGGTTGAGCTTGCAAAAGAGTTGGGTAACTCTCATGTGAGTGAGAAGAAGGCACACAAGGAGAAACTGCTTCGGCAACAACCTTCCACACCCAGCTCAGGCAAAAGGGCAAAGTGTCAGGTCAACCATCGATGCAGGAACAATTGTGCAACTGTGAGATGCGTTGACTGCTACAAATACACATGTGGCAAATGCACCAGGGTCATACCCTGGCAGTGCCAGGTATGTTCTGACAGTGCAGACAGACTGCTGAGTGAGTGCTGAAATGCCAGTCACACAAGGACATGCCACTTACACACACACACACACAGCCCCCCACTGTGCCTAGTGTAAATATGTGTGGAATTGTTTTATTTCTTGTATTTTTTGTATCATTTTTAATGACAAAAATAAAAAGCATTTAAACAAATAACAGTTGTTCTTTTGTATATTTCTCATGCTGGAATTTCAGTCCTCTTGACTTAGACACAAATACTTCTGGTCATAGCTCACAGCTGTACCTGGCTGTAAAATATATCTCCATTTAAAATATTAAAATTAATTCATTGTGCTTTTTTGATAAAATAAAACTAAGCTAAATATAATATATATATAATCTTTATATTATAAAATACAATATACTGAATAGAACTAACTAGACAGCTAGTTGAGAGTTAAGCTTTCCCCCTTCCTTTGGTGCACCAGTAATGGCCTTATTTACAGAACAATAGTGCATGTTCACACCTGCTTATAGGATGCTAATTAATATCCTTCAGGTCAGTCGACCCGTCTCTGGCCTCCAAAGGTAGAAATGTTAAATGACCATTCTCTGGTCATTCTAGTGTTAAATTCAGGTGTTCTCATTGCTTTGTGCATGAAGTGTATGGTTACCCATCCCACAATATAGTATCCCCAAAAGATATAGCTCCTATATTGCTATCTTTAAATCAGCTTGCAGTTAAAAAAATAATAAAATAATAATAAAAAATAAATAATAAACAAATGGTGATGTTTTAGATCCTGGGCCTGATATTGAATTTCCATAAGCACCATTAACTCATTAAGTCTTAAAATGTTTTAATTTATTCTAAAGTGCATTTTATTGTTGCTACTTTACTATTCCCAAATGTTGAATTTTCAACATTTAAACCTGACCAACCTATTTATCAAAAAACCAGTCCACTCTATAACATAGTAAAACATCTCTAAATCCTCTTTTTTATTCCTTTATTTAAGATTAGCTCACCCCCTGATGATATGGAGAAAATTAGTAGACCGTTTCAACTAGGGGTGTAAATAATAATCGTTTTGTATCGATGCATGGATCCAACAACCGACGATCCGATGCATCGACACATCCGCAAGAGAATTGATTCATGTTTTATGTTTTCCTCCCGTCTATTTTTATCCATTTGTTCCTGGGCGTAATTCTCCCTCCCGTGTTGCGGTGGCGCTAAACCTATTTTGCCCTCCTACCTCGCTTCCTGGTTATACTCCTGCAGCAGTGTGTTGCAGTAAGCTTGACACAGACATTTTTAAATTATGCTCAATATTGAAGCGTGGTCTGAGCTACACACTGTGGGTCTAGCTAAGGCAGAGGCGGTGAGGAAGTGGGGGTGAGTTTAGTCCGACGACGGAGGGACATTAGTGCCTAAAAGAGCGGAGATCCAGGTGGAAAAAGGGTCCCACCATTCTCGCACACCTCGCTCTTCTAGCGGGTCAAACTTCATGAGTTGTTTTCCGCAATTTCAGTCATAAAAAACAAAACAAGCTGGTCTCCTGTCTGCGGCACTGTTTACGGTCAGCTACAATTTGGGAGAGGTGCATCAGAGTTTCTCTCAAGGGGGCGGGGACGTCTGGAGCCAAGTATTGCATTGAACTCATTGCACTGATTTTCTGCAGTATTTTTGCAGTATTTTTTGATGCAACTTTTCTGCTTCTGTTATTTGCTGTTGTTTAAAAAAAAAATGCATAACAATATTACAGCTTTCATTGATATATTTCAAACTTGAAACTTTGTTTAGCCTGTAAGGTGTAAAAAAATAAAAAAAAATAAAAAAATAATTAACCGATTAATCGAATAGAATCATATCGTGGTGTATTCTTGAGTATCGAAAATAATCGAATCGTTGGGTCAGGAAATCGATACTGAATCGAATCGCCATGATGGATGTGATTTACACCCCTAGTTTCAACCTGTCGACAAAGTTATTCCTATAATTAAACTCTATGTTGTTGCCATCACTACTGTTTAAAAAAAATAAAAAATCCCCAAATACTGCCGTGTTGTTTAGAAAGGTATTAGATCTACCTGCTGATCCCTGTAAACCAAATATATTATTCATGGATCTGTATTAATCAACCAGTTTTAAATAAGTTGCTCATAATTTTTCATTGTGAATAACAAGTCTGGTGTGTCAGTTCACTTATCTTTTTTCATCAGTCTTGTCTGAGGATCCCATGACATCCATCACACCATATCTGCCAGTGGCCTGTTCTCATCTGAAGCAGTGGGCATCCAGTCACTTCCTTAATGTCTGCATCTCAGCAGCTGCACACCATCCGTCCTTCAGAAGTTTAGGTGTAAAATTAGTCTCTGTGCCCCCTTTAGTGTAATTCATCCTGTGACTCAAGAAAGAAAGTGTCCAATGTCTCACCAAACAAAAATCCATTGTACATTTTGAAACATTTCCATCCATAGTGTAGTCAGTGCTATTCAAACAAAATTAACTTCAAGCCACGTCTTTTTTTTTTTACTAAAGATTAAGATGTTGGTAAACAAACAGAAAATGACAAACACAGAGACACAAACAGCGACAAACATGTAAGATTAAAAAAAAAACTCCCGTGGTGTCGATTTCTCCAAAAAGTTGTAGCTTCATCATGTCATTCACTTAATGCCTCTGTCAGCATGACTGCTCTTAATGGGTGTGCAATTCCAGCCCAACAAAAGTCCTCGAGCTTCAAACCACCACATCAATCTGTACCTCATAGGTCATATCAGAACCCCAGAAGAATTAAAACAAACTCAGAGCTCTTCAGAATGGCCTTCAGCCAGGAACAAAACATGCAGCTCACAATCTCTAAACACTGTATCTGTCATGCTGCGTTCTAACACCTTCTCTCTGATGTCATAATCAATGATTCGGATCCAGTCCAGTTATGAACCAAGTCAGTCCAGTCAGTCAGAACCTACTTAAATCCTCCTATCCAAAAAATTCAACCATCTGAACCCCTGTCTCTCTCTAGTTGCTCTCAGCCAAGTTGTTCATTTTATTTGCGAGGACTTCTGCACCTGCTGGGAAAATAAGGGTTAATGCACATCGTAAACAAAACACAATGAAGGATAAGACTTTGCCAGCCTGTCCTGGAAGAAAATGGATTTAAGGATTGTTACAAACACAGCCTGAAAAAACAAAAACTTATTTAAGCAAAATAACCTCCTGATTCTCCTTAACTTGGCCTCCAAATTATCATGCCTGCTCACTGACAGCCTCACTGTCACTATCTACCAGGAGGGCAAAAGTAAATGACTCCTCAGATTTGTTACCAAGAAAAGCAATCCAAACAATTAATCAATAGTTCATAATTTCATTCACAAAAATTAGTAAAGTTAGTATAATTTGATAAGTCATGCCCAGATGAGTAGTGAAAAGATAAGTGTTAGCAGTGATGAGACTAACGGCGTTGAAAGTAACGGCGTTACTAACGCCGTTACCTTGTTTTAGTAACGAGTAATCTAACTAATTACTTTGACTGTAACTATAACGCAGTTACCATTGCAGACACCCGGTTACTGCGTGTTACTCAGGTCGCACAATGAACCTTTTTTCGTGATAGGACTCGTGCGCGCCTTGTCATAAGAGAGGGGAGGATGATAATGGCTGATGTATAGTGAGATTCCGTCTGTCAGTTGGGTAGGTGGGTGTTTCTGCTGGTGGGTGTTAACGTACAGCACACACAGAGAGATGGAGAGTGAGGAGGACTCCAGCAGCAAAACAGCCTTTTTTTCAGATGGAAATACCGGTGTTACGTCGAGCTGCGTTTCCCCACCACATACGGTTTCCCCTGCATCTCCGCACAGCGCAGACGGCACGATTCACCGCGCAAGCGACAGGAAACGCGCGTGCTCGCTAAAAGCGTGCAACAGTCGCCCTGTGCTCGCGCCACAGGAGAACTATGGAGAGCGTTTACGATCAAATGATCGCCTATATGGAGAAAGGGAGAAATATGGATGGATGGATGGATGGATGGATGGATGGATGGATGGATGGATGGATGGATGGATGGATGGATGGATGGATGGATGGATGGATGGATGGATGGATGGATGGATGGATGGATACTCTGCCTTTTCAACCTAATGTATTTTTTATTTTAAACATCATTTGATGGCCTTTGTGGCAGGGATGGAGATCCATATTTTATGTCACACCCAGAGTATACACTCACCGGCCACTTTATTAGGTACACCTGTCCAACTGCTCGTTAACACTTAATTTCTAAGCAGCCAGTCACATGGCGGCAACTCAGTGCATTTAGGCATGTAGACATGGTCATGACAATCTCCTGCAGTTCAAACCGAGCATCAGTATGGGGAAGAAAGGTGATTTAAGTGACTTTGAACGTGGCATGATTGTTGGTGCCAGAAGGGCTGGTCTGAGGATTTCAGAAACTGCTGATCTACTGGGATTTTCACGCACAACCATCTCTAGGGTTTACAGAGAATGGTCCGAAAAAGAAAAAACATCCAGTGAGCGGCAGTTCTGTGGGCGGAAATGCCTTGTTGATGCCAGAGGTCAGAGGAGAATGGCCAGACTGGTTGGAGCTGATAGAAGGGCAATGGTGACTCAAATAACCACCCGTTACAACCAAGGTGGGCAGAAAAGCATCTCTGAACGCACAGTACGTCCAACTTTGAGGCAGATGGGCTACAGCAGCAGAAGACCACACCGGGTGCCACTCCTTTCAGCTAAGAACAGGAAACTGAGGCTACAATTTGCACAAGCTCATCGAAATTGGACAATAGAAGATTGGAAAAACATTGCCTGGTCTGATGAGTCTTGATTTCTGCTGCGACATTCGGATGGTAGGGTCAGAATTTGGCGACTACAACATGAAAGCATGGATCCATCCTGCCTTGTATTAATGGTTCAGTCTGGTGGTGGTGGTGTCATGGTGTGGGGAATATTTTCTTGGCACTCTTTGGGCCCCTTGGTACCAATTGAGCATCGTTTCAATGCCACAGTAAACAAGAGACGCCGGGAAATTCCTCAATCCACTAGAAAGATGGATCGCACTGAATTCACCACTCAGGTGTTTTCAATCACTGGTGCCACACTTACAGTGTATGCGCCCAAACGGAAGAAGGCAGTTTACGTTCTCAGCAGCATGCACAGCGTGGTTGAGACTGAGGATGTCCATCCCTTTATGACCACAATGTACCCAACTTCTGATGGCTACTTTCAGCAGGATAATGCGCCATGTCATAAAGGTGTAATCATCTCAGACTGGTTTCTTGAACATGACAATGAGTTCACTGTACTCAAATGGCCTCCACAGTCACCAGATCTCAATCCAATAGAGCATCTTTGGGATGTGGTGGAACGGGAGATTCGCATCATAGATGTGCAGCCGACAAATCTGCGGCAACTGTGTGATACCATCATGTCAATATGGACCAAACTCCCTGAGGAATGCTTCCAGCACCTTGTTGAATCTATGCAACCAAGAATTGAGGCAGTTCTGAAGGCAAAAGGGGGTCCAACCCGTTACTAGCATGGGGTACCTAATAAAGTGGCCGGTGAGTGTAGGCATCCTTTGTCATTTAGGCTTTGGAAATTCCTCAGAAAAGTATTATTTTCGAATCCAATAAGTTTGATAATAATCCACATCTCCTTGGTGATGCTTTTGAATATTTTTCTCTGATTATTTTGCAACTTGCAGAGCTCGCTCCTCCTGCATATTTTTGGAGCAGTGAGATCCCCATAGGGTCCAATGTAATTCTCCCAGTGCGATAGGAGACTCGCTTTTAGGAAACTACGGTTGTAGCTCACTGTATGGCTTGCTGTGGTGTCTGTTTTGTAGAATAAATAATTCGCCGACGAGTTATTAATCCGGAAAAGCCGAATTTGTGCATATATTGCCAGCAGAGGAAAGATTGCCTGAGTTATATTTCCCTCCAAATAAATAATGCTTATTATTTTATAAATGGTCATTATTGTATAAATGGTATTGCTTTTTACAGTGTTCCACCTCATGCAGCTGTTTTCATTGTACAGATCAGTTATTGTGTGATCGCTGTGCTGGCGGCTGCGCTGAAATCATTGCGCTGTTAGTGACACTGATGACGTAGAACTAGTTATATTTAATTACATATATGATCCCCCCCCCTGCTCTCAGGTAAAACAGTATCAAAGAGAGAGACGAGCCAAAACTGAAACTGAAGGGCATGGAATGTTTCTCAAGCCACAGCGCTAATGGGGCATTTACATCCGAAAAGGGATTCATGAGTTGATAATTACTGCGGGGGACTGAGGCTGACCAAAATTCTCCTAGCTCCGGGATTTTTAGTGTTAAATCTTCGAGGGTGTGTGTGTCAGAGCACAGTCAGTAGGCTCATAGTGCGAGGAGAGAGGAAGAGGGAGGGCGCTTTTTTCTTTTTGAGAGAAAAAGAAAAAGGAAAAGAAGATGTGTTTTGAAGCTTTTAAACGTCTCCTTACAAAATTTAAACTCGTCTTATATCCGCAGTTTATGTAACAACTTCTTCTGTAGCAATTAACAACTTATCAACCAAATATGTTTAAACATTGGGCACAATTAACACTTTTTTAGTTAGAAAATGGGACACAGTAGCAATTAGAAGTGAAAGCAGATGTCTTTTGCAGATATAAAGTGATAATTTTTCTCTCCCTGCTTTGTTACTAACTCTGTCTCCTGATGCTCTTTTTTCATCTCAGCTGCAACACTTGCCTTTTTCTAACAGCCTATGTGGGACCTTAAATTATCAGAAAACTTCCATGGGAACAACAGAACCAGCCCTTGTCCCGACTTTTCTGACTCCCTTTTCTGACTACGGACCTCCTGTCCAAACTTGCACAGTTAACAACCAAAATTTTAAGGTACAAAATATTTTAGATCATACAGCTCATAATATCAGTAACACATCATACATTTTCCAAGAAAACACAGTTAAAGATTATCTAATATAGTTGGGCTGCGTGTACCCAATTAATTTATTTTTACCTTTAATCAATGTCTGTTCTTGCTGTTTCTATTTTACATATTTCATTGGTCTTGCTGTTTTTTGTACAGCTCACGGTTTAACAAAGATATCTTAAGCTCACAGGATTATTTTTTTTTTTGCCTGGTCTTGGCTCAATCTATATGTAGAATTCGAGGGTTCTCACATCCTCGCTGAAGATGACCCCTCGTCAGGGACTCGCTGGACCCAGCACGCTCAAGAAACTTATGTTTGAGGTTTTCTCACTTCCTTGGGCCTCTAACCCAGTTGAAGACAATCCCTCGTCAGGAACTCGCCGTGAGCCGCTACACTCAAGAAACTTCACTTTCTATTTTCTTTTACCTGGACTTGTTTACTTAAACCCTGGTCTCATTATCTTTAACTCACAAGACTTCTCTGCCTGGCCTCGTTATCTTTAAACTCACGGGGCTACTTACAACCATCCAAACATTGTTTTATATCACTCCCTCTATTTTCTTTTATAGACTTAGGCTTACTAGGACACAGGACACTTAATTTAGTTGTTCTAAACCCAAAATGCCGATTTGATTAAACAGGTTCTGCTTACGTTTTTGTTGGCTAGCCTGTGTCCTTCGTCCGTTCGTCCGAGTCCGATGTCCAATCGATCCTGACGCCCGGAATCCCAGACAAGCCCCCAAATTGTTGAAAAACACCATCATGGTTTTCCCCCGGGTCGGTTAATTCGAGTGCAGGTAACTTAACTGAGATGGAGTGTTAGAGAGAGGAGCATCAGCAGCACGCATCTACGAACAGCAACTCTGACCCCCCCTGCAAAACCGGCTCTTTTTATTATCTTCATATGGGAACATCTTACAGTTTCACACAGACAGTCCCACAGAATGAGCATACTCCCTACTTCCTATCTCCAAATATGGAGTTGCTTCCTGCCTTTCTGCTCCACTGTTAATCAGCTTTTTTCTACGTGTGTGTGCGAGCAAGGTCATTCTAACCTCTAATCTAGAGATTTCATCCTCCCCTCTGCGAGCTTTGGCCTAACACCTGGGAATAATATATTTCCTGCCCATCCTTAGATTATACATGACATATACTTCTTCAATATGAACAATAAGTTTTGCTGCAGCTTTAACTTAGCTCTATACTTCTTTTAGCTTAAAGATGTATATAAATATCTTCACGCTCCAAACTGATGGTTGGCTCTCAGCAGTATGGCTCTTTCTGCGCTCACTACTTAATGAACTAAATGTGGCTGATCATCCTGTGCCAAGCATAAAAAATATTGTTGTCTATCTATTAAGATATAGCTCACAAGAGGTGATGCTAAACCTTCTTGAATTTCTACCAAAATGAATCCCTAATTATATCCTAAGAACATATTTCATTGCATACTGTTTATTTTCAGATAAACACCCAGATGAAAAGGTGCATATTGCATTGAATATGTCTCTCTCATAGTTCTTGTTTCTATCTATTTGAATATTTCATTTTAGTTAACATATTTTTGAAATCTTTGTCCAGATTACCATGGCATTACAAGGCAATTGTGTAGGTACTGTGTTTATTTTTTTTATATCTGATCTTTATGAATTTAAATGTACTTTGAACCCTGAGCAGAATTAAGAAAAATAAAGCCAAAATTGACAAAGTAGAAAGAAGAATGTTTTTGTTCTTTGCTTATTTTGTAGGAATGAAGTTTCATTGATCTGTGTGTAATGCATATTTTATAGTAGATCAGAAAGTGCTTGCTTTGGGATGGAAACCTTGCATATCTAAAACTATTCCTTTATTGTACATTTTGTTAGCTTGTTTGTCTGCTATATTAACCAATATGATGTGTTGAACTAGATCTGCTATTTTCACAGATTTTGTGAGACACTTTTTTATAAAGTAGGCATTAATTTCTAAAAACGTTTATTTGAATTGTAGAAATCAGTTTTCTGCCTTATAGAAATGATGAACTTCACGGCAGCATTCTATACCCAGCAACTGTTGTATCTAGGCTAGAGCTGTCAGTCTAGTAGAGAATCTGGTTGCCACTCAAAATTCTAAAGGTTAACTATTTTATAAATTGGATGATAAAACTCACAAAAACTAGACTAAAACCTTTTTGATTTTTAGTGACTAAAACCGACTAACACTATCAGATACGTATAGTAATGACTAAAATGTGACTAAAACTGATAATAGTTTTCATCCTGAAGACTAAAACTAAGACTAAATCTAAGGGGATGTCAGAAACAACACTGCAGAGAACAAATACAGAATAAAAATAAGATCTGGAAAGCAGCAAAAGCACAAACAGAAAAGTGAATTACTTAAACTGAGAGTGCACCACATGTTAACTAAGAGTCTTTATTTCCTTCTTAGATGGGATTCAGGCTGGAACACACAGAGGAACATGTGGAGGAACACAGAGGAGAACAGAGCAGGGTCTCTATCACCCAGCTTTATTTCTATGAAGAGTGACCGGTCCAAAGATCCTCTTCTATGGTTCAGTAATGATCCTGGAGCAGCAGATCTAAGGTGAGTCCTCTGCTACTTGATGCTATAATCATGTTTAAACATTATAAACCTGCTTCCCTCGGCTCTCGTCTGGTTAACCTGACAAGGATGAAGAAAAGAAGAGCTTAAACAAAGGTATCCTCTCTGATGAATCCGACTGATTGAGTCATGATCTGCTGGACTTATAGCAGAGTTTTTTTTAATTATTATTGATATCAATGTTTTTATTAACCAGAGAAACCGTTTGAAGAACACAAGAAAAGTTGCTCTATATATTAAGTTGTGTTGATTGATTGTTAGATTTTGCCTCCAAAACACCTTGGTAGCTTTTTAAACTGCTGATTGTGTCCAAATAGCATCAAATATGTGGAACTCTATTTGATGCCATGTTCTACAATTGGCTTTGGATGAGTTTTTTTCACAAATAATGTTAGCATATTTAATATTTTTATGCCTTATGCTCCATCTTGTGCTCCATATTTAGTTTTCCTGGGGTAATTTCCCAGAATGATAAATATTGGTCATATCTGAAGCCATTGCTGCTGTTTATACTGGTTCTAAGGACAGAAAGTTTCAGACCTGGAAAAGCAGAATCTAATATGAGGTAAAGAGGAGACATCAAGGATGGAGGAGGAAGGAAAATGAATAATAAGTAATCTGTGAGCTGCATGTATGAAATCTTCATCTGCAGAAACGTCGCTTTTACAGTTTTCCAGAGGTGGATCATCCAGGTCCAGAAAGTAAAAACCCTGCCTTGTTTTCCTTCATCCTGTTCACTTAACCAGGTGATCAGCCCCTCTGCTGATTAGTCTGAATGATGGAGATGGAAATGCAAATGGTTGGAACTGATCTCTGTACAGACTTTTTACTTTCTGCACCTGGATTATCCACCTCTGCAGTTATCCAACCATGAGGGAAGGAGCAGGATAAAGACATGACTCACACACAGAGCTTCTTGGAACAAATGCTGGTTCCTAATGACAACAATCCCTGATTATACTACTTATTTATTAGACATGAGTTTGTGCAAGTTAACGTCCATCCCTAATAGATTATAACAACAATATAATACAATACAACACAATACAATACAATACAATCCTGTAAACCAGACATCATCCACCCAGCTTCTGGTCCTCTGTAGTTGACCTTCATGAACATCTTCAGCTTCAGTAGGACACCCCCCACCCTGTTGGTAGTGAACTATTTCAGTGATGAAGAAATGTCTCCACAGACGGAGGAAGAGGAGCAGCGTTTGTGAGGAGGAGCAGCTGAACTGCTGCACTTTATGCCAGAACCTCCTGATGGATCCAGTCTCTACCAGCTGTGGACACCGGTTCTGCAGACAGTGCATCAGGTCCTACAGGGTCCAGTCTGCTCCATCAGGACCCTCCTCCTGCCCCCAGTGTGGGAAAAGAGCCAGAACCGGAGCTGGACCTCTGACAGCCAATCAGAGCAGCTGTGCAGCAGGTAAGACTGAACATCTCCAATCAGAGCTTCCTTCTATCGTCTCTGTTGAACCAATTCCACGTCTTTAGTTGGATTTGGAGACTGAAGCTTTTCAAAGTCTTTCTGGGATCAATTATTCCAACTAAATCTCTGTAATTCCAGATGCTGTAAATAAATCGTCTGTGTTCAACCCAACAACCTATTGGGTTTGCTGAACTGGTTCTGTTTTCAGTCCTTTAGGCTAAATGCCTTAAAACTAAACATCTCCTTAAAACTGGAAGTTATTTTGATGCATGAAAACAAAAAGGTGCAGAAAGCAACCTGCTGATCTGATTCTTTTCCAAGAAGAAGGAAGGAAAGTCGGAGAGATAGAAACCAGTATTTCCTCTGACAATAGATCACTGATTACAGGATAGATATTTCTATTTACACCATGGAATCATTCTAACAATCGCCTAAAGGACCAAATCAGTCCCATGTTATTTTCAGTCTGCAGTTATTCTTTAAAAGCATCCAATCCAGTATCTGAGAGAGAAATGACTTTTAAATGTGAACACTAGCTGCTCCAATGAGCTCGGTGTAGGACAGGTGAGGAACAGGATCCAGATGAGATGCAGGACACCTCCTCATAGAAGAAAGGTCAGTTTAATACACACAGTCTGAACCAGGAACACCATGAGACGACAAGGTTAAGACATGTATAAGACTGCCACAGGGAACAAACAGGAACTTAAAGGCATGCAGGGGTAATTACAGAACTATGGACAGCTGGATAAATGAAGGAGGGAGAAACCAATCAGAGGAAGAACAGGGAAAACAAAGAAACACAGAACATGGACCATGACAGTTGTTCTGCTAGATTAGAGCATTTTCTCTATTTCCCTTCATTAATACTGGAAAATGCTGAGGAAACCTTTTTCTTTCTCTCTGCCTCTTCTGGAGCTGCTGTGTTTGTTGCAGAAGGTCCAATAGAACCAGTCCAATGAGGACAATGGTGACATGATGCTAAAGAGTTGATGTTGCTGAAAGCTGCTGCTGGTTTCTGTCAGCATTTCTTCATCTTCTCTGCTTTGGGAATCAGATCCTAACAGTAAACAGATACTGAACACAAAACAGAGGCAGAAAGATGCTGTCTGACAATTGAACAAGGTTCTGCTTCTGAGGACAGATCAGATCGTTTAGCATCAGATCAAGTGAAGGAAGAGACTTTCTAATGATAACACCTCCTAATGTTCCAGATGGTTTGGTTCCAGCTTCATCTTTAAATCAGCTTTTTTCCTTCAGTCGTCTTTTCTTCTGTGTTTCAGCAGATGTTGGTCTGCAGGAGGTTCTAGAGGAACATAAGATCAATCTGAGGAGGAGATACAATCGTGTGGCTGAAGGAAGTGATGAAACGGGAAGTAAAACCCTCCTCAACAGCATCTACACTGATCTCTACATCACAGAGGGACAGAGTGAAGATGTTAATGCCCAACATGAGGTGCAGCAGCTGGAGAGAGCTTCCAAGATCCAGAACCTCCATGATTCTCCAATCAGGTGCCATGACATCTTTAAAGCCGTCCCTGACCAACATGGAGCCATCAGGGTGGTTCTGACCAACGGCGTCGCTGGTGTTGGAAAAACCTTCTCAGTGCAGAAGTTCACTCTGGACTGGGCAGAGGGCTTGGAGAACCAAGATGTCAGTGTGGTGGTTCTGCTTTCCTTCAGGGAGCTGAACCTGATCAGAGATCAGCAGCACAGTCTTCTCACGCTGCTTCATGTTTTCCATCCAAACCTCCAGAAGCTCCCAGCAGAGAAGCTGTCTGTCTGGAAGCTTCTCTTCATCTTTGACGGCCTGGATGAAAGCAGACTTTCTCTGGACTTCAGCAACAGTCCGCTTGTTTCTGACGTCACACAGAAGTCATCAGTCAACGTTCTGCTGATGAACCTCATCAAGGGGAACCTGCTTCCCTCGGCTCTCGTCTGGATTACTTCCAGACCTGCGGCGGCCAATCGGATCCCTCCTTCCAGTGTTTCCAGGGTAACAGAAGTACGAGGCTTCACCGATGCCCAGAAGGAGGAGTACTTCAGGCGGAGGTTCAGTGATGAAGAGGAGAAGGCCAGCAGGATCATCTCCCACATCAAGACCTCCAGGAGCCTCTTCATCATGTGTGGGATCCCAGTGTTCTGCTGGATCACTGCTACGGTTCTGGAGAACCTGTTGACCACAGAGCAGATTGGAGAGCTGCCCAAGACCATGACTGACATGTACTCACACTTCCTGCTGGTCCAGACCAGGAGGAAGAAGAACAAGTACCATGAAGGACATGAGACGAGTCCACAGGAGCTGATGGAGGCTGACAGGGAAGTTCTCCTGAAGCTGGGGAGGCTGGCCTTGGAACATCTGGAGAAAGGAAACATCATGTTCTACCAAGAAGACCTGGAGCAGTGTGGTCTGGATGTCACAGAGGCCTCGGTGTACTCAGGAATTTGTACAGAGATCTTCAAAAGAGAGAGCGTGATCTTCCAGAAACTAGTCTACTGCTTTGTTCATCTGAGCTTCCAGGAGTTTCTGGCTGCAGTCTACATGCTCCACTGCTTCACCAGCAGGAACACAGAGGTGGTGGAGAACTTCCTGGGAGAAAAATACAGAGAAACATCTCTGGAGGACTTCATGAAGAAAGCCATGGAGAAATCCCTCAGGAGTCCAAATGGCCACCTGGACCTGTTTGCTCGCTTCCTTCATGGCCTCTCTGTGGAGTCCAACCAGAGCCTCTTAGGAGGCCTGCTGGGTCAGATGGAGAACAATTCAGAAACCATCCAGAGAGTCATCAACAATCTGAAGCAGATGAACACTGATGATAGAATCTCTCCTGATAGAAGCATCAACATCTTCCACTGTCGTCAGGAGATGAAGGACCTCTCAGTTTATCAGGAGATCCAACAGCTCCTGAAATCAGGGAAGAAGCTCTCAGAGACCCAGTGCTCAGCTCTGGCCTACATGCTGCAAATGTCCGATGAGGTTCTGGATGAGTTAGACTTGAAGAAGTACAACACATCATCTGGAGGACGACAGAGACTGGTTCCAGCTGTGAGGAACTGCAGAAAGGCTCGGTGAGTCCAGATGTCTTCATGGTGTGATGCTGATTCAGCTCTATTGTCCTCCTGGTTCTTCTTCATGGTTCTAGTTGCTTCTGGATGTTTTTGCTCTTTAACTTCTTCCTTCATCCCTTGGACTATTTCAACCATTTAAAGATCTAAACGTTCAGCTTCTTCAGGACAGCTCTGCTGGAGCTTTTGGTGTTTAGAGATTTGGATCATTTTCAAAATATTCCACTTTGGATCAGTTTCCATCTTCCATTGAAATGAATAGAAAACCTTCAGAATGTAGAAAATCTGTGTTTTCTCTAAAGATCCAATCAGCCAGAGACCCATCAGAACCTTTAAACTCCTCTTCTCTCATTGGACTGTTAGCCCAGAATTCACCTTTTTAGTCTCTTTGACTGTTTTTATAAAATTACTGTTTATCTTTGATGGAAACTTGGACCATTCAGATCAATCCCTGCATTGCTGCTGTTGCCATGGAGATGAGTTGTTTGGATCCAGAAGCAACTTTTCTTCCTGCCACAGATTTCCCTTTGAGTTTGTAAATTAGAGCCAAAATGTGTTGATGTGTGTCTGGTTTCAGAAAATGTCATTTCTGTAGGAGTCCTAGTTTCTGTCAGATCCTCCCAAAGCTGTGAGAACTCTGCTTCCAGAGTTTGGAACCATTTTCCTCATCAACACTTCATCTGCTGCCTTTGTTGAAGCTAATAGATGCCCTCCATAAAGACCTGTAGAGACAGGAGCTTTAACACTTTAGACATTCCAGCCTCTTCTAATTACTGGGAGAACTTTCACTGCTTTCTGCCTTTGGAAATTCTCAGTCACATACTCACCTACATTGGGTTGTGATAAATATGGAGATGTTTTTTGGTCCATGGGGGAATTATTTATTGTTTTTTGCCTGATCAAGGAACATTATTATAAAATTTGAGTTTCTCTGACATTCACATAATTATTCTTAAGGACAGTAAAAAAAATGCTATTTTAATAATTGAAATGAGAACCAGAGACTAAATAATCAGGCAGCTACACTGCAATGCATTTAGTCTGCAGTGTTGCAGATCAAATTACAAAGAGTGAACAACTTACTGCCACCATCTAAAGGATTAATTGGCTGCTGCCATGAAGAAAAATTGGCCACAGCTGCTAAATTTGAAATTAATGCAAAAAAAAAGAAAACTTATTCAAAATAATGATTTCATAAACTATTTGTTTTATTTACTAACAGCAGAGATACATCCATGGACGTTCTGAAAGGTAAGCTTGTGGGGATATATGTCATAGTATATGGCAGCAGCGTAACCATCATCTCAGAAGTGAGGAGGAAACATTATTCAGAGTGATTTATCCGTCTCTGGCATCAATTTCTCCTTTTCTTAGTGGCTAAAGCTCCACATAATCCAACAGCAACAGTTTAACACCAGGGGAGAAACTAGGCTGGTTCTTTAAACTATAAACTAAAACATTTAGAGTTTTAGCTGCCAAACCTTATTTTAGTGACATAATGAGCCTTGAACATCTTGAACTAGTAGCAAGAAGAGCCAAACAGTGAACATCAGTAATCCTCCATTCCTGTGATCAAATAATTACTCAGCAAACTACATTAAATGGGAGCGACAGGCTAACAGGGTAATAAGCCACATCATTTCATTGAATGGTTTGTCCAGAAAAGGTTTCTGTGGATCAGCTCCCATGTGAGTGCCATCTGGTGGAGGAATAAAGTATTGCAGAAACACATTGGATTTCAACATTATATATTGGTTTCACCTGTTCCAGACACTGTTTTGTTCTCAGATTTTCACTTTAAATAAATCAAAATTCATATTGATATGGGCTTTTCCAGCCCTACCTGCTGGGATTATTTCCAGCTACATTCATCCTCCCAGTTTAGATGTTCTTCATCCTCCTCATCATCACATCCTTCCATCTTCCAACGCTACAGGAGAAGCTTGTTAGAAACCATCACAGGTTTGACATCAGTAACCTTGGCTGATTTCATTAGAACTGACTTTATTCTCCTCTATTCACAGACTTGGTGGCTGTTTTCTCAATGAGGCTGAATGTGAAGTTGTGGCCTCAGCTCTGAAGTCCAACCTTCATCTGACTGAAGTGGAAATAGAGACAATCATTGGATCCTTTGGAGACTCTGATATGAAGCATCTGAGTGAGATACTGGAGAGTTCAATCTGCAAAGTGAAGAAACTGGAGTGAGTTTTCTCTGTTTATTCAATCTACATCATTCACTGATACTTTAATGCTGATTTTAATTCATCATATTATTCTAATATATTTTCTTTAAAAACAGCTGCTGTCCAAATGTCAGAGTACAATTTCTCAGACATTTTACCTTGTAAATGAATTAATTTCCTGCTCCAGATGTTCTAAATATTAAACTTTATTTTCCAGATGTTCAAAGTTTCAAATGTTTTGGACTAATGGAGGAAAATCAGCCAAATGATGTTAAGTAATGGTGGAGATGTTTCAGTTTGATTTGGGAAAGATTCAGATGATAAGACAAGATAAGATGGCTTTATTTCTCATTTCTGATTCACATCTTTCCATCCAGAATGACATTTGGTTCCTCTAGAGTAGAACCAGAACCACAAACATGTTAGAATAACTAGAATCAAATAAAATGATCTAAAAACTAATGTTTAGGAAGAAAAGACAAAGACATGAAATCTTTGTCCTGGAGCTGCTGTTCTGTTGGAGCGGGTCAAAGAGAACCCATCCTCTTCAATCTCTAAGCTTTCAGAGTCGCTTGGATACACAAATACTTAGTTACTGAACTTAAGCAGCTTTTTATTTCTGACTTATTTACTTTTTGTTTACTTTAATATGAGGAAAATAACCAATGGTCCTTGGACTAATGTTTATCACGTGCCGGGGTCACATATTCTGCTGGAATGTTTTAATGGAAAGTTTTAATCTGCATCCTGTTGAATTCAGCTAAAATTTTGTATTCTTTATTCAGATTTGATGGCAGCAGATTGTCAGAGATCAGCTCGGCTTCTCTGGGCTCAGCTCTGAAGTCTAATCCATCCCATCTGACAGAACTGGACCTGATCGGAACCAACCTGGACCCTGGAATAAAGGAGCTCAGTGGGTTTCTCCGGTCTCCCCTCTGCAAACTACAGAAATTGAGGTCAGATGTAGAATATTTGTTTATTCTAATAACATTACATCCAGTACATTACAGTACAGTAACATCACTTTGATCAGGGGCCCTCCTCTAAGTCACTGGTTCTCAACATTTTTGAGTTGTGACAACCACCCACCCCACCCCGCCACCACCAGATGCATGATTCTACTTAGGGAGAGTTGTAACCTCACCAGTTCCACTAATCAGGGATAACATACGAGTCACGTGAACTTTTCAGTGTTTACACGCTTCAACCCCAATCCCATGTTGTGATTGTCAAGGCTGGAAACAGACACATGCAGATACTTGGGAGAAAAAATAGATTTTGAGGTGAGAAAGTCAATTTTATGACCATGACTATATTTTGTTTAGTTCTTATACTGTTGCAGATAAAAGCATATTATTTACATGAGATGAAAGAGTAATTTTTCAGGCAAAATGTGATGCATTTGCTTGTGCTAAGTTTAAAACACTATGCTAGTACAGCTAGCTAAACATGGCTGACAGGGTTGGGGTGGGTTGTAACACATCTTTGAAAAGTCTTACAATCATCCTGTTACATACAACTAAGACCATTTATATTTTAATAATTTTACAGAATGCCTACGCAGTGGATATGAAAGACTGATAGAGGTTTGCCTGCAGATGTTTTAAAAAAAGTTATCTGATGAGGTCACAAAGAAGAGCCAGTCAGTCAGATCAGTTGTGAAGGCGCATGGGATCTGCCATGTAACACTTAGCAGATACTGCAAATCACTGCAGAAGCTGAGAGAACAGGGGTCCAGGGATCTTCCCAGTGTAGGTTACTGGAGCAGCAACACATTGGTTTGTGTTAGACCTACATGTTCAGTGTCCATAGACAGATTGTGTGGAGCTGCCAGTGTTCATCCTGCAACACTTAGAAGCAAAGAGCAGCTCAACTGTAGCTTTTCCTGCCGTCCCTCTCCTGGCCTCAACAGCTGAACAGTTAGATGCTGATCCTACAGCATCAATAACAAATATCCACGTTGGTCTGGAGGGAGCTGCCATTCAATGGGCATGAACCCCAGAGCTGAATACTAAATGGGTGATGTGTCTAAATCAGCAGCACTGGTGCCCTCTATAGGAGGGAATGGGGAAGGTCAACTATCCCTCTATCTCCCGTCTTTAAAGAAAATATACACAATATACTTGTAAGATGAAAAAATGATAAAGGGAAAAATAATCAGATTTAGTTTAAGCAATAAACATTTTCACAAACATTTTTAAAGTCAGAGAATCTCAGAAACTGATTAAATAGATTTTAATGAATCTGTCAAATGATCAGATCCTAAAAACACATTTGATTATTTTTTTTCATGATGAGAGATTTCCAAAACATGAAATAAACTGATTGAGCTGTAACTTCCATTTTTCCTGCTCTGAGTCAGTATTAAGGTTTAATCTCTATCTTTGGTCTGGATTGATCCGTTTCTTTCTGTTCCTGTGATCAAAGACGCACCAGGCTCCATCTGCTGCTCTGAAATCAGCCCTGTTCTCCTGCTGCAGGGTTATTTGCTTGTTGTTGTTTTTATTTCTGTGTAATGATGGAGGCAGGCCGACATCCCTGGACTGAGCAGCTTTTCTGCCCGTTAAAGGAAAAACAAACTGCCAGTCTGTCCCTGCATGGAGCTCCTAGTTTACAGTCACGGGCCTGTGTTCCTGAACAAAGTCCAGTCCTCTGGAGGCCAATAAACAGACTTTCACCACTTAGACATCAGCTAGAAAAGAAAAGTTGCTGCTCTGTGCAAATTAGCTGCTAAAAGAGCCACTTCCTGTCAACTTTGAGCTGAAATCATGGCGCTCTGCCTCACATCACCTCCCTGATCAGAGAAAGTGAGAGTTTATTTAGAGTCACTTAGAAGAACAGCATGAAGTGAGAAATATGAGGAGGGAAAGAAGATCACCTGGTCAAATCTGCTTTTCGTCTGTTCAGCTTGGAGCTCGAAATAAAAATAGTTGTTGGGAGTTTTTTATTTAAAGGGCCTCTATCCTGTAAAATCCACTTGTTAAAGTATTTAACTAAGTGAAGGCCCTGTCCTGCAAACCTTACTGTCATTTTCCACCTTTGGAGCCATTTGAATAGAGAGTTTTGTTCCTGTAGTTTCTAGCGACTCCTCTGGGCTTTATCTCCATCTCTGCATGGTAGCAGCTGCGTGCCAGTGTTATACTATATTCAGTGACCCTGGCCAAAGAGAGAATGTGTTCAGTGATGCTGTATGATTGGGCTAGTACAGTGTCAGTGAGGAAAATAAGCAATGGTCCTTGGACTAGTGTTTATCACGTGCCGGGGTCACATATTCTGCTGGAATGTTTTAATGGAAAGTTTTAATCTGCATCCTGTTGAATTCAGCTAAAATATTTTATTCTTTATTCAGATTCTGGCACTGCAGTTTGTCAGAGATCAGCTGGGCTTCTCTGGTCTCAGTTCTGAAGTCTAATCCATCCCATCTGACAGAACTGCACCTGAGAGGAACCAACCTGGACGCTGGAATGAAGGAGCTCAGTGAGTTTCTCCAGTCTCCCCTCTGCAACCTACAGACATTGATGTAAGATGTAGAATATTTGTTTATTCTAAAGTAGTGCTACCACAGGTCATACATTCCTGCTGCCACCAGACTCTACAATGCAACATTACAATGGCAATAACTTGTGTAATATCTAATGTGCAATTACTATTTAATACCCTGTACCATAACCTGTTTCTTTATATTTTATAACCACTGTTTATACTGTATAAACCTCCATGCACCTTTACTTTCCTTCTGTCTGGTGTGTGATTTCTCCTCTCTGCTGAAGTTAGCTGGTCTTTAATGGAGCAGCAGCATGTTGGCATTAATTTTAATGATTGCTCTTTAACTGCTTCTGTAGGACTGTTCTAACCTGCATCCTGTTGGATCAGCTCACATCTTTCTATTCTTTATCCAGATTGATTGGGTGCAGTTTGTCAAAGATCAGCTGTGCTGCTCTGGTCTCGGCTCTGAAGTCAAACCCCTCACATCTGGAACACCTGGACCTGAGTGGCAACAACCTGAAGGAGTCAGATGTTCAGCAGCTGCAGGATCTTGTAGAGAGTCCAGAATACAAACTGAAGACTCTGTAAGTAGATGGTTGGAGTGAGTCCAACTGCTCCACAGCTGCTCTGAACAGGACTGAAGTCCCTGCTGCTCTTTATCCTGGATGTGCTGCATTACTGACTGACAGCTGGTGGAGAGAGAGGGGCTGGAAACACTCACTGATCTCCTCTTTTCATCCTTCTTCTCTCTGCAGGAAGTGGAGGTGATGATCTTAGTGGAGTAGAGAAGCTGATCTGTTTCCTGATGATCCTCAGAGGTTGAAGCTGCGGCGGTTTGAGTTTAAAGAGACTCTGACTGGATCCTGATGATGTCTGAGTTTAGAGATTTTTCTCCTCTTTCTTTGATTCTGTCTGTCATTTAGTGTGTGATATTGTTTTTCTCTTTGGAACAATGGAGATGAAATTCAAACTAAGCTCTATTTAGTCCTTCTTGGAGGTTTGATCTGAATCTGATCAAACTGTAAAGTTGATATTTTTTCTCTCTGATTCATTTTCAGCCTGTAACCCAGAAATCTAAAATAAATCTCAATTCTAAAGTTTTCAGGCTGCTTGTTTGCTTCATTGTGATGCAGTTTTTGGATGTTTTTGATTCTATTCCAGATGTTTCATGCAGATGTTTGGGCAGCTCTGCTCCTCTGATCTGTTGCTGCAAACAGCTCAGTGAGGAAATGATGGTTTATCCAATCAGAGGATGAAGCTTTTCTTCAGGAGTTTCAATCAGATCTTTCTGATTTCCTTCTGGAGTGTCTTCTGCTCCAGCATCTCAGTCTGACCAGGATTATTGTGTTGAAGGCAGAGCTGTAATAATCCTCAAAGAGCATCCAGACATAGCTCTGCTGCTGCTCCAGGTGGTTCAGTGCAGAGTGGAGAGCTACGGTGATGGCGTCCTCTGTGGATCTGTTCACCTGCTATGTGAACTGGTCGAGTCCAGGTCTGGGGGGAGATGGTCCTTGATGTGCTGAAGAACCAGTCTCTCAAAGCACCTCATGATTAGCAGGGTGAGGGCCACCAGGCGGTAATCATTCAGGCTGCTGATGGGAGATTTCTTCACAACCTGTTTAAAAAATGCTAGCAGAGACTCATCCTTTTCTAATGAAGCTCTGTAGCCATTTGACTCTGACGGCGCCGTTCATTGGACCAAAATCCATCACATTCAGATGTCCTTCTTCCAAAAATTCACTACATCAGATCTTCTAGTGTAATGGCATATGTTTCTCCAAAATCAAATTAAAATTGTCTTGATTTCTCCTCTTAATCACTTATATATATAACGAGTATGCTGGGTAAATAAGCCCAGAGACACCTTCCATTTTAGTGAGTCAAATATGTCCAAAAATAGATCAATCTCTCTGGAGCCAACTGTTGAAAATGATTGAAGTTTTCTGAATGTTTCTTTCTATGTGTGATACTTCTCTTAATTCATTATCCTTGGAAATATTGATGCCTAAAAATTTAACCTCTTTCTGGATTGAAATATAACAAACAGCGTTAAGTAAACTATCATGAATAGTCATCATTTCACATGTCCTTATATTCAGAATGTCGGCCAGAAGCTTTAGAAAACTTTGGATCTAAAAACATGCCTGTGTCATCTACAGTGATGGGACTAACGGCGTTGAAAGTAACGGCGTTACTAACGCCGTTACCTTGTTTTAGTAACGAGTAATCTAACTAAGTACTTTGACTGTAACTATAACGCAGTTACCATTGCAGACACCCCGTTACTGCGCATTACTCACGTCGCACAATTAACCTTCTTTTCATGATAGGACTCGTGCGCAGCTGCATGAAGCTGACACCCCACCCACGTCAAAAAACTCTGCAAATAGACTGAATGGTTAGTGCAACGTTAGTGCAGATTTGTGCAGAAAAAAATATTGTTTGTGCTACTTTTGTTTAACAGATATTAAAGATTATTTTTTAGGTCATCCAGGCGCGCCTTGTCATGAGAGAGGGGAGGATGAGAATGGCTGATGTATAGTGAGATTCCGTCTGTCAGTTGGGTAGGTGGGTGTTTCCGCTGGTGGGTGTCAACGTACAGCACACACAGAGAGATGGAGAGTGAGGATGACTCTAGCAGCAAAACAGCGTTTTCCACATGGAAATACCGGTGTTACGTGGAGCTGCGTTTCCCCACCACATAACGGTTCCCTCTGCATCTCCACACAGGCGGCAAGAGTCACCGCGCAAGCGACAGGAAACGTGCATGCTCGCTAAAGGCGCGCAATGGATGGATGGATGGATGGATGGATGGATGGATGGATGGATGGATGGATGGATGGATGGATGGATGGATGGATGGATGGATGGATGGATGGATGGATGGATGGATACTACTTTTCAACCTACTGTATTTTTTATTTTAAACATTATTTGATGGCCTTTGTGGCAGGGATGGAGATCCATATTTTATGTCACACACAGAGTATACATCTAGATAGATAGATGATAGATAGATGTTACAGTATCTATAACAACCCAAACACACAGGATTTCAGAATTAGACATCCCCAGTTATTAATTTCATATACTCACCAGATCTTAATGCCCTGTTAAAAAACTTCACATCGCGTTCCCCCCTGATGTCATTTACGCTGAGTTGCAATAAATGCTAAACTCTCTGCAGGTTCTTGTCTTTGTCGTCCGCTCTATTCAGCTGGCTTTGAAACACACGGCGAGAAGGTGGGGACCGGGTGGTGAGGGTTACGGGGGCGAGAAACGCAAAAGTAACGCAATAGTTACCTTTACTAAGAACTAGTTACTTTTATTGTGGAGTAACTCAGTTAGTAACTCAGTTACTTTTTGGGAGAAGTAACTAGTAACTATAACTAATTACTTTTTCAATGTAACGTGCCCAACACTGGTCATCTGCTAGCTGAGGAATTACCAGGGGAGTTCCCATCATTTTTAAAACCATAGCTAAAAGTTCTGCCACAATAATAAACTACAGAGGAGAAGCAGGACAGCCTTGGCATATTCCTCTTTGAATGCTAAAACTTTTAGCTGTTCCAGAAGGCAGAGATGTTGAACTATGGATGTCTGTGTAAAGCAACGTTTTGGTTTTTTATAAATCTTTCCCCAAAGCCAAAACACTCCAATGCTTCTATAATCAATGGGAGCTTAACCACATTGAATGCTTTCTAAAAGTCCAAAAACAGAACGGCCCCATCATCCTCCCCCAGAGCCCCATCATCCCCCCAGAGGCTCATTATTCAGCAGATCTAAAAGCAGTGTCACATTATTAGGAATAGATCTGTCTTTAAGAAGAAAAGATGGTGTATCGCTTATTATCTGAAATAAACCATCTATTAATCTGCCTGCAATCACATGTGTAAATATTTTCTAAGTGACTGGATGAAGATTTTCAATGCATCTCTGATAATTTGCTGGTTTTGGAATGAAAGTAATGAGTCCCTATTTCATTGTAAATGTTAATGAATTGGTAAATAATGTTATTCATCGGTTCATAAAGGAAATTCTTTAGTTCTTCCACAAAATATTTGTGAAATACTGTAGTTAAACCGTCTCAATGCTTTCCCAGTAGCTGGTTTTTGTGACATCAGACTTTCTTTAAAGGAGAAATCTATTCTTTGGAAAATGTTTTTTAATCTCTGCTAGAAAAATATTTGAGTTCACAGAACTGTACTCTGATGAATATTAATTGGAGTAAAAATCTGTATATTTCCTCTGAGATCTCTTTATCTGTATATTTTTCCTTTCTTGCCTTTTTTTTCTAGATTGGAAAAATTTATTTTTTTCACCTTCTATCCATTTAGCTCTAGATCTAATGTAAGCCACATTTGTCCTTTATGATATATAACATCTAAATGATTTTTATGATATTACAAAGTCACATTTGTCAGATTCAGTCATTTCAGTTTAGCTGCATAAATGAATCATTTTGCACCAATTTACTCTCAAAGTCTTTTTGCTGTTTGCATTTGAATTTACTAAATGCTACTGAAAATTCTCCAAACCTGAATTTAAAGTGTTCCTATCTCTTCCTGAGGTTACCAATAGTCTGGTCATTTTTCATTTCATGTATCAATTCTTTAATTACTCAAACATATTTTTCATCTTTTAATAAGTCAGCATTACATTTCCTGTAATCTTTTTTAAATTTGTTTCAATAACTGAATGAATGTGAGTGATATATCACAGTGATCTGTTAGAGGAGCAACAGAAATAGGAAGATGTGAAAGATATCTGAGCGCTTCTGGTGTAGTTAACCATAAATGGATCTGATGTGGTTCTGCCATTACTTTTGATCCATGTGACCGCATCAGGGTTTCTGTCTCCATCCTTCTACCAGGTTATTAGGATTAATAAATTCCCCCCTACCACAACAAAGTTTGAATAGCTCATTTCCCTATATTCAGAAATAATATCATCTAACTTTGACATTAACAAGTTATTTTGACTAGTTTTTTATCCTCATAAATCTTGCCCAAAATGACAGAATACCCTTGAACATTAAAGAGAAGAAGCATCCAGTGAGCCAGTTCAACAGCTTTAGTAGCAACGAGCTCTGCAGGACATTTATTAACACAGATGGCTAAACTTGAAGAACATTTGGTTCAATAAGATCTTTTCTCCCCTCTGGTTTGACCACAAGGGGGCATCTGTGTGACAGGAGAAGGTCTCCCGCAAAAAGGTGCATTGAGCTCCTTGGCCTTTACAAGATTAAAAATAATGCTTTTCTTTTCACTCTATCCATGAGTCCTCTAGCATTTAAATAAAATACACATTTGAACAATAACAAAGCTTTTTGAACAATAACAGCTCGACATAAAGAACAAAAAAGTCTTTCAAGCTGTAAAGTTGTATTTTTCCTTCCAGCAGGAAAGGAATGGAGTGAAGTGGATGAACCTGCAGTGCAACAAATCCTCTGTTCAACAGACTCAGACTCCAAAGCAGCTTCTTCTCCTTTCAATCTTTCACTTCAGCAGCATTCAGTTCTAGAGCTTTGGCCACACTGTTGATCATTACTGGATTCTGGGTTAATGTGGTGTTCACATCTGCCATCTTTTCATCTTGGCTGTCAAATCTTCAATGCAATGCTTGAATGACTTCCAATAGATCTTCCATTGTTGCCTTTGGTTTGGAGGGTCTGAGGAGCACAGGGAGGAGAAAAGGAGAGGTCTGAGGGAGGAGACAGCTGAGGAGATCTGCTTTTATCAGACCACTTATTGATTTAGGATATAATATTCATTCAGGCAGTAGTTAGCTGCTGTCGCTCTGTCAGCTAGCTTCTAATAGCTAGCTGCTAAATACTTTGGAGCTCTCTAAAACTCTGCTTGAATGAATGAATGAATGAATGATCAGGAATTTATTTCAGACATTTTTTCTGACAGACAATAAATGAATCAACCAAATACACACAAATAGAGACTAGTTAACATAAACCAAACCAAACACCAATTTCCAAACTAACTAAATTCACCTGAACATAAATAGAAACAAAACCCTCCACCCAATTAACCTGTCGGTATTTACAGCCAGAGAGATGACATCCATTGCTTGTATTTAGAGTAAACATGACAATGATGCATTGATGCTGAAACTGATTAATATTAAACCTTTTGGGAATTCCAAGAACTTGATCAATAGTACTGCATGAACTTCAAACTTCTTATCTTGTTGATTGATCAATAATGTTTTAGAATCTGGCAGAGAGTGAACAGATTGTCTGACTGACCCAGAGATATGCAATGTCAAAAGAGTTACATCCATCCAGTGTTGCATTAATTTTTCACCAAGATCTTGCATTGATGATGGTATAGTCTGACCGCTGTGCAAAGCCCTCTCTAGCACATCCCAAGGATTCTCAATGGGGTTGAGGTCTGGACTCTGTGGTGGCCAATCCATGTGTGAAAATGATGTGTCATGCTCCCTGAACCAGTCTTTCACAATTTGAGCCCGATGAATCCTGGCATTGTCATCTTGGAATATGTCTGTGCCATCAGGGAAGAAAAAATCCATTGATGGAATAACCTGGTCATTCAGTATATTCAGGTAGTCAGTCGATCTCATTCTTTGAGCACATACTGTTGTCCAATAGGAGGTTTGTACCTATCTGCTTAGTTAAATCTAGGTGGCGACTTTCTTTTTGGCCGGGCAGTGTATATATATATGCATGTATATATATATGTATATATATGTATATATATATATATATATATATATATATATATATATATATATATATATATATATATATATATATATATATATATATATATATATATGTATATATATATGTATATATATATATATATATATATATATATATATATATATATATAAATACACACTCTGAAATGAGCATCAGACTGAGGTTTGTGCTGTTCATGGAAGATTGCCTCGACTAAATGATTACATTTTTTTCACAGAGCATTATGTCCACAAGGAGGAGAAGGAAAAAGCCCATAGATGACGCAAAGACATATATTCTGTCTTGCACTGACAAGGATGGGTTTATTTTGAGATTCATTGACAGTTGTAAAGGTAAGTGACAGAAGATTCCTTGACACAACTTGTGCATTTCAGAAGCAATTGGTAATATGGGGCCTTTAAAAATAAATGTCATAATTCATGTAGAATTTATTTTAAAAGCTGGACTTTCTCCTTCAATTCTTTTCTTTTTTTAAAACTTTAAAGTTATTTTACATACATCAAGCCTGTGTAGCATCAACTGCCATGACCACTGTGCTGTTGTTGAAATCTGTTGAAATGTAGGAGGCCACATGCTCCATCAGAGAAGATGCAGATCTGTCCAGCTTTGAATTTTTTCGCCACAGTAACTATTTGGGTCAATTTACAATTCCCAAATGAACTTGATGAAAATTTGTTTGTTTATTTGGTTTTGTGGAAGAAAGTCATACTCCAAGAATAAAAGAAAATAAATACAACACCATCCGGCCTAATGGAGTGCTTAAGAATATTAATCACACCAGTTACTGCACTTTGTTGTGGTTCAGTATGAATATGATTTGGCATAAAATGGTGTTGAAAAAGGTTTCTTTTTACAGCTAACAAAACTAGAACTCAGCATCATGCAGGAAAAGGCAGGACTTATGTGTCACAAGGACCCAGTTCTGTCAATAATCAGCCTATTTCATTTGTTGATGAGCTGTATTTATCTTAATTGTACAATCAGCAGGACAGATGACTTGCGGTATAAAGGACAGAGTCCACAATATTACCCCTTTCCAGTGCAAGTCTGAAAGGGGCTTAGCACTGAATTCCAACTCAGCCTTTGCCTATGTCTGCATTTGTGATATGTCAATTGCACTCTTTAAGTTGAATTACAGAAATAAAAGAACTTTTTCAGGATTTATTTAATTGTTTTGGTAGTACCTGTGTATATATAAATATTGCTATTTTAGTTCCATGCCTTGCTGCTGCTACTCTGTAATTTCCCAGTTTGGGATCAATACAGTACATCTGTCTGTCAAAAGTCTGAGTTGTATGATGTCCGTATGCTTCATTAGTGTGTTGCCTGCACTAAATGGTACACAGCACTCTCAGGTAAAGGGAACAGAATAGAGCAGACGCGACCTCAATGATACATTGATCTGGATGGGTCAGCATCAAAAACATTTGATGGCCACATAAAGGCTGATCAAAAAAGCAGTTTACCTGTACACTGAGCAACACAACTTGGAGAGTGCTGAGCATTGTCTGCAGGTAATACAATGAGACATAAGAACCTCAACCTCACTTTAAAAGAATGCTGCATTTCTTTTTGAGTTCCCAGAATTAAATGTTGACTTATTTTATATTACTATAGGAAGAGGAGTTTTTGCCACACACCCCATTGAACCAGGGGACTTTGTCTTGGGAGTATAGGGGTAAACTCCTGACACAGGAAGAATGCCAGTCAAGACAATACTCGAGGATTGAAAGCACATTTGTCTTTGACTTTGAGTATCGGAACAATTGCCTGTGGTAAGCATGAATAGATAGATGTTTTGTTAGATTGGAGAAATTCTGATTTGACCCAGAAACATGGGTTTAATATTTGAATAATGTTTTAAAAGACACATACTATTAGGAATTTCTTTTGAAAATGCATCTTTCAATAAAACTTTAAACTACAACAATTTTTCTTATGCTTTTCAGCCTGGATGCATCTGAAGAAGATGGATCTCTCGGACGACTAGTCAATGACAACCACAAAAATCCAAATTGTGTCATGAAAAAAATCATAGTTGACAACAAGCCACACTTGTGCCTTTTTTCTCTTAAGAAAATAGGAATAGGAGATTAAATTGATTATGACTATGGTAAAGCAAAATGGCCTTGGCATACTGAGGTGAGTTGGTTAGATTAGGTGTAGATTTCTTGATTTTTTTATTTTTTACAAAAAACAAATGTTGTATTTCTTTGATATTATCGATGTTTCTAATATTACTCTGGACTATGACAATGTAAATGTGTTGAATCTTTGATCTGTGATGTGATTTAAGATGAGTTCTTTCTGTGATCCAGGTGAAAAAAACCCAAGCTTCTGCAGCAGCAGAAGAAAAGTTATTGAGTGGTAAAGACCAGGTAATGTCACACACACCGTCATGTTTCCAGTCATGTCCTTATGGGGTCCTTCAATCTTCCAAACGCATTCTTTCTGTAGTCCCTCCTTTACACACTCCCATGTCTCTAGTGTGAGCCATGTGGGGCCCTCCCGTCCAGTTCTTACTGTAACTGTTTTTAAGGCACCATGGTAACACCTGACACGACCTCAGCTGTGATTTTAACATTCATCATTGTGCACTCTCTGAGCTGTTGCATCTTTAAACACAATCTTTGCATTGATCCGATCATAATAGCTGCTGATGAGTCCTGAAGACCATGCCGTGCTCTCGATTGAAGCACTGTGTTGTTTCAGAAATATTTGACCACTAGATGATCTTATTTGCCCATGAATGTCTCTTCATTCAGTTCTAAATCCATTCTTGTCCATCTATATTTCAGGTGAAAGGCCTTCAGACTCCTGCAGCAGCAGTTGAGAATGAGACCAGCCCTGTTCCTCAGACGTTAAATGATGGACCAATCCCAGATGAGCCCTGCACACAGGTAAAAGTACATTTAAACACATTCATCTATGCTGACTTGTATGCTATGGTGTTCTATTATTAAAGTGGCTCAATGCTCGCATGACTTGAAAGTAATCAGGTGAAGTTATTGGTTAGGGCTATTGTGACAGTTAATGTCATACACAATCTGAAGATTCTAGGGAGAAATCAGGAAAATCTTTTTTTATTGACTAAAGAAAAAAACATTTTGATCCAAATGGTTTCCTTCAGGCAATTGTATTATAGCATTATAATACTATGAGATGTGTTTTACCGCGATGTAACATTTCTAATTTTACACTGTCTAAACGGGATGATGATCACATTTCTGGAGACAGCTTATTTGTCAGTTCATGTTTTGTTGCTTTGGCCAATCTTTTTAATGCCATACTTACAAATTTTTTTTTTATTTTCAGATATTTACTGTCCAAGGATTTTCGCTGGTTGATTATCCAGATAGTGATGAACCTGATGAGGATGATGTGATGAACAAACCTCCTTCTCCACACCTGGATGTTGTGCTTCGCCAGAATGATATTGGGTCGGATGTTTCAGATCATTTGTACGATTCAGATGAAACTGTTGTGATAGAAACTTGTGATGAGGCTTCTCCAAGCAACCATTCCAACAAGCAATCAAATGATGAACTTGTTCCACCACTGAGACGCACAAAAAGCATTCTGGTAAGGCCCAAAAACATATTTTGATACTTTTTTTTTTTTTATATACTTATTTTCATATATGTATATATAAAAAAGTGTGTGTGTATGTGTGTGTGACCATTCTCAGTCACATGACTCTGTTCAGTTACGCAGCCATGCTGGATGGCAGAAAGCTAGTCTAGAGTGACAGTTTACTTGTTGTGAGGCGCTTCATTAATGATGGTTCTACAGGTGCTGGTCATAAAATTAGAATATCATGAAAAAGTAGATTGATTTCAGTAATTCCATTTAAAAAGTGAAACTTGTATATTATATTCATACATAACATACAAACTCATATATTTCAGATGTTTATTTTGTTTAATTTTGATGATTACAAATGACAACAAATGAAAATCTCAAATTCATCATATCAGAAAATTAGAATATTACTGAAGACCAATAAAAACAAAGGATTTATAGAAATGTTGGCCAACTGAAAAGTATGAACATGAAAAGTATGAGCATGTACAGCACTCAGTATTTAGTTGGGCCTCCTTTGGCCTGTATTACTGCAGCAATGCGGCGTGGCATGGAGTCGATCAGTCTGTGGCACTGCTCAGGTGTTATGATAGCCCAGGTTGATCTAATAGTGGCTTTTAGCTCTTCTGAATTGTTGGGTCTGGTGTATTGCATCTTCTTCTTCACAATACCCCATAGATTTTCTATGGGGTTAAGGTCAGGAGAGTTTGCTGGCCAATTAAGAACAGGGATACCATGGTCCTTCAACCAGGTACTGGTAGCTTTGGCACTGTGTGCAGGTGCCAAGTCCTGTTGGAAAATGAAATCTGCATCTCCAAAAAGTTGGTCAGCTGCAGGAAGCATGAAGTGCTCTAAAACTTCCTGGTATGTGGTTGCGTTGACCCTGGACCTCAGAAAACACAATGGACCAACACCAGCAGATGACATGGCACCCCAAACCATCACTGACTGTGGAAACTTTACACTGGACTTCAAGCAACATGGATGAAGTGCCTCTCTTCTTTTCCTCCAGACTCTGGGACCTTGATTTCCAAAGGAAATGCAAAATTTACTTTCATCAGAGAACATGACTTTGGACCACTCACCAGCAGTCCAGTCCTGTTTCTCTTTAGACGCTTCTGACGCTGTCTGTGGTTCAAGAGTGGCTTGACACAAGGAATGCGACAGCAGAAACCCATGTCTTTCATACGTCTGTGTGTGGTGGTTCTTGAAGCACTCACTCCAGCTGCAGTCCACTCTTTGTGAATCTCCCCCACATTTTTGAAGGGGTTTTGTTTCACAATCCTCTCCAGGGTGCGGTTATCTCTCTTGCTTGTACACTTTTTTCGACCACATCTTTTCCTTCCCTTCGCCTCTCTATTAATGTGCTTGGACACTGAGCTCTGTGAACAGCCAGCCTCTTTAGCGATGACCTTTTGTGTCTTGCCCTCCTTGTGCAAGGTGTCGATGGTCGTCTTTTGGACAACTGTCAAGTCAGCAGTCTTCCCCATGATTGTGTAGCCTATAGAACTAGACTGAAAGACCATTTAAAGGCTTTTGCAGGTGGTTTGAGTTAATTAGCTGATTAGAGTGTGGCACCAGGGGCCATCAATTTTGAACCTTTTCACAATATTCTAATTTTCTGATATGATGAATTTGAGATTTTCATTTGTTGTCATTTGTAATCATCAAAATTAAACAAAATAAACATCTGAAATATATGAGTTTGTATGTAATGTATGAATATAATATACAAGTTTCACTTTTTAAATGGAATTACTGAAATCAATCTACTTTTTCATGATATTCTAATTTTATGACCAGCACCTGTAGATGTCTTTACCCTTTTTAAGCCAGTCCAGCTTTTATGTGGGCAGCTCAGGCAGTTATATTTTATAAGTTTGCACTTGTGAGTGCTTAAGACCCTTACGTTTTTTCCAAGTCCTGGTTTACAAACCTCAGATTAGCTTAGCATAATGTTTACAACCTCGTCAACAGACAGTCGCATTTCACAGGAGCAGAAATAAAAGCTAAAAGTGGTTAGAAGCTTAAATATCTGGTGCAGGATGGTATCAGACCTTCAGCTGTGGAAAGTGTCCCAAACACAGTATTTCCTCTTCATGTCAAAGATGAAAACAGCAGAACCAGATAACATTTACACCATGTAAACATTAGGAAAACGTCTCCACATTATATATATTATACTAACGCCAGGGTGACAGCTGTTGTGTTGATAACCTACAGCTTTCGTCTGTACTTTCGTCCACATCCTATGGACGAAAGTACAGAAAGTGATAGCAGTATGGAATTAACTGTTGAAAATGAAAAGAAGAACAAAGTTGCATCATTCAGACAGAGCAAGTCTAAGCCTAGTGAGAGTGGAAGCTAGACCTCCAGACAGAGCAAGTCTAAGCCTAGTGAGAAAGGAAGCAAGTCCTCCAGAGAGAGTGGAAGTGAGTCCTCCAGACAGAGCAAGTCTAAGCCTAGTGAGAAAGGAAGCAAGTCCTCCAGAGAGAGTGGAAGTGAGTCCTCCAGACAGAGCAAGTCTAAGCCTAGTGAGAGTGGAAGCAAGACCTCCAGACAGACCAAGTCTAAGCCTAGTGAGAGTGGAAGCAAGACCTCCAGACAGACCAAGTCTAAGCCTAGTGAGAGTGGAAGCAAGACCTCCACACAGACCAAGTCTAAGCTTAGTGAGAGTGGAAGCAAGACCTCCACACAGACCAAGGTAAGCCTAGTGAGAGTGGAAGCAAGACCTCCAGACAGACCAAGTCTAAGCCTATTGAGAGTGGAAGTGAATCCTCCAGAGAGAGTGGAAGTGAATCCTCTACTAAGAGCCAATTTGATGTTGGCCAGAGCAGATGTTTGGAAAGAAATTGTGATCCTATACAAAGATTGCCAAATAGTAGGGTTTATGGGAATGAAAAGGAAATGACATATTCTAAAAATGTTTCATTGCCCCTGGAAGAAGTGCAATCTATCATTGTCAGTCCAACTTTAAAGAAGGATGATGGATCCAGAAGTTATAAAAAGAAACACTTCTGCTTTTATTGCAGGAAGATTGTCCAGAAAATGTCAAGACACCTTAGGCACAAACACATAGATGAAATGGATGTTGCGAAAGCATTCAGTTTTCCAACAAACTCAAAGGAAAGAAAACGACTATTGGACTATATAGAAATAAGGGAAACTTCGAGCATAACAGTAATGTTTTGGAAACACGAAAAGGAAAACTCATCCCATGGAGACAACAAGAAAAAAAATCAGACGGGCACAAGTTTGCACATTGCGTTTACTGCTATGAGTTGTTCTCAAGGAGAGCAATGTGGCGGCATTTCAAGGTCTGCAGCTTTATACCAGAAAGTAGTAAACCAGGTAGAACTAGAGTTCAAGCCCTGTGTGCTTTTGCTAAAACTGCTCCAAAAGAATATACAGATGCGTATTGGAAATTCTTGAGTGTAATGAATCAGGACCAGATTGCAGTCGCTATCAAAGGAGACAGCTGCATCCTCAATTACGGGTTCAGATTGTTCAAAAAGAATGAGAAAATAGTCAGTCAACACTCATACATACGCCAGAAACTAAGAGAACTTGGCAGGCTTTTATTGGAAGCTAAGAAAGCCACACATGTGAAGACCATTCAAGAACTCATAAAACCTGAACAGTACACCCAGGTTGTCAAAGCTGCAAAGTTCTTATCTGGATTCAGTGAGCAAACTGGCAAGCACCAACGTCCCTCTCTTGCACGCAAGGTAAGACACAGCCTACATTCATTGGCCATGTTTATAAAGTCTGAAGGACTGAAAAAGAAAGATAAAGAAACCATCCAAAATGCTGAAGAGTTTGCGCAGTTATACCAAGAGAGCTGGAGGTTTGATATTGCAGGCCAGGCATTGACCCAGCTTAACCAGGCCAAATGGAATGCACCGCAACTCTTGCCTCTCACACAAGATATCCAAAAGCTACATTGCTATCTAGATGAAAAGCAGCAGCAACATCTCAAAGATCTACAAGAACATCCTTCATCCACAAATTGGAAAGAACTTGCAAAAGTAACGCTCACCCAAGTTATGCTTTTTAATCGACGGAGAGCAGGGGAAGTGTCTCAAATGCGCTTGTCTGCATACTTATCAAAGGACACAGAAGAAGAACAGGGAGACGTGAACTTGGCCCTCACAGCGCTTGAGCAGAAGCTCTGCAGGCATTTTATGCACATAGCAATTGTTGGAAAAAGAGGAAGAAAGGTACCCGTTCTTCTAACCCCATTAATGAGAGAGTCTATTGATGCCCTTACTGAGACCAGAGAAGAATGTGGGGTACTGAAGGACAATGGATATCTGTTTGCTTTGCCACAATCTGACCATTACCTCAGGGCTTGCGACTGCATGAGGCAATTTGTCAGTAAATGTGCTGACATAAAAACATCAATAAAACTGAGGAAACATATCGCTACCTTGTCTACGGTTCTCAACCTCAAAACCACTGAGCTTGATCAGCTGGCAGACTTTCTTGGTCATAACATTGCTGTTCACAGGAAACATTACAGGCTCCCAGAAAGCACCCTCCAATTAGCCAAAGTTAGCAAAGTCCTCCTGGCAATAGAAAGAGGACGCCTTGGAGATTACAAAGGGAAGAGCCTCGATGAAATACAAGTCGACGTGAATGGTAATTAACAGATTTTTGAAGGCACAATATATACAACATTTAAGCAGTGTTCAAAACTGTGCACTTGCCTGAGTGCTCTGGGATACAGTACACAGTGGCACCGCGGCAGACCAAACCAGACGAAAGTGCGCATTCAGCTCGGCAAAGAACTCATGCTCTTCCTCAACACTGAAGTCCTCAGACATTTTTCTTTCGTTGTTTCTTTCTTTGCACAGGTAAACAGCACATTTCTTCTTCTACGCTTGCATTATCGGCAGAGCAGACGCTGAATGCGCACTTTCATCTGGTTTGGTCTGCCGCGGTTTCCGTAGACTTGTGAACGCGCTTTTAGGAAATCCTATACACTACTGTTTATGCTCTAAAAACATTCTAAATGACTTTGTTTCGAGTAAATTATGGACGCTACCCACTCAGGACACTTGGAATACATTGGACGAGCAGTATGGAGGAATATTGACACGTTTTTTGTGGACTTTTATGGACCTTTCTGCCTCGGGTGCCATAGACCTCCATTATTTGAATGTCAGCAGACAGAAAGAAGCCTCCCAGATCTCCAGATGCATTTGAGATATCAGAAAAGTACTCCAGAGTGTTGTTCGGCATGGGGGTGAGTAGAAAATGAAGGCTAATCATGTTTTGGGTGTACTTTTCCTTTAAGTTACCTCTCTTTCTGAATGGTTTGAGTTACCTCCTTTGAAATGGGAAAACACTGGTTTTCCCTCATTTAAGGGCTAACAGACTTGGGCAGTGTTCAGACTGCAGGCAAATCTGATTCAAATCAGATTCTACACAAATCCTTTTTGGGGGACTGCTTGTTCACTCATATTTAGCAGATGTCCAAATCGGAAGTGGCTCTGTTCACACTGTGCTACTTTTATTTTGAACCTAAATGACGATTGGATTTGTCCCTGGATGTGAACAGTGCTCCTGTTCATTTACATAAAAGTGTTTACAGAAATCCTAAATTTAAAAAGCTGTCTTGTGGAATGAGTCTTTGACAGCCTGCATTTTGCCATAGATCCTTTTTCTGCATACCCTTGATCACTGCTGTCCAAATCACAAAAGTTATCTGATTTAATATTCTTACCATGCTAGCTTCAGTGACTACTTAATATTGAGGTCAACATGCTTGTCTCGCAGGGTTGAACAAACCAATCACTCTACTGACACCCCCCCCCCCCCCCCCCACCCCCACCTCTTCCTCCAACACCGTAACTCTGATACAGAGGCTGCACAATCAGCACAGGCAAACACAACCCCAGTTTTAACACTGAACACTGGGTCAGTAATGCCTGACATTACAACAAATGGCATAGATAGATGAGACTTTATTAATCCCAGAGAAATACACCAGCCACATCAGCACAGAGGCGCACACAGAAAAAGGTACAGAAATTTGGAAATGTAAATAAATGGTAAAAGCAGAGTGAAGATATGTACAAAAAGAAATGTTAGAGAAATATTTACAGTCAGAAATTAAGTGAAAAATTTAATAGAGATTAAATAATATTAAAATGGGCTCATAATGAAGTATAATGCAGGACCTGTTACTAGGGATGGGCGATACCCATTTTTTATATTTCGATACGATACCGATGCTTTGTTGTACTTTTTCTTCGATACCGATACTTTTCCTCCTTAACGGAAACCCATACAATGAAGCACTACATTGGAAATTTTATTGCAACTGGCAATAAAAATACAACTCATAAATACGTTTTTGTTTTTATTCAAAAGTTACGACAAAGAGAAACAATGAATATATGAAATCAAAATAAGTTAATTTTCTTTTTTAATAAAAACAGTGGAGTACAAAAAAAAATGTAATTAATGCCATACTAAAAAAATTCACAGTCCCAAAGCATTCAAACAGTAAACTGCTGATAGTTAACAGTAACTATGTACAACTCCACTACTTCCTGAACTTTAGCCAGCTCCTTTGTCTCTTGTCTTTCATTACTGGACAAACTGATTAATCCAGGTGTGTCTGACCATTGTGTTTGTGATTACTGAGGTCAGACACAGCTGGATTAATCAGTTTGTCCAGTAATGAAAGACAGGAGGCGAAGGAGCTGAAGTTCAGGAAGTAGTGGAGTTGTACATAAAGCCCATTACTAATACAGCAGCAGTATCATTAGCAGCATATCAACAACAAAAAAGCAAAGATAATTATCACAACAGTATCTTCACTAACAAGGTGCAAGTATTATCCAGGATGTCATGTAGCATCTGATCTGATACCAAACAGTAACTAACTGCTAACATGAACAGCAGCAGTATTATTTTCAAAATCATCATCAGCAAAAATAAAGAAAATTATCACAACAGTATCTTCTCTAACAAAGGTGGAGTTAGGATGGCATGTAGCATACAAACAGTAACTACTAACCGTAGCAGCATCCATCAGTATCATATTCAAGATCAAAGAGACACATTCGTATTGCTATTAAAATGTTCTTTTTAATCCTTGGCTTTTACTTTACTTTTGTGTTTTATTGTTTCTATGTAAAGCTTCCTTGGGTGCCATGAAAGTTCATAGTTTCCTACTGCATGTGTTGTATGCACTTAAAAATATTGTGTAGTCTATGTTCTGAATGTGTTCTTATTGTGTTATTTCATTTTATTTTTTTTTAAAACTTGTTCTGTAAATAGTTCCTTTACTATGATCAATCCATATCAATTTCAGACTAAAAACCATGTACCAATTTAAGCCCCATCCAGCTCTGCTTGAACCAAGCCCACTTCACGTTTAGACCCCACCCACTTCGAGTATAGATGCAGATGATTTAGATGGTTGAACAGACACAGATAGTGGTGAACTTGCTCATCCCTAGTCATTACCTTATTTATACATTAGACTCCCAAAAAACAAAACGTATTGCTTGGAAACAGAGCATGTACATGTACGTATACACGTGCCCGTGCACATGTGCGTGTGGTAAGGATGGTACCACCTCAATTTGAGCAAGGAAAAACCCTGGCACCTCTAGCGTTCAAGTCGCTATTGCACCACGCGCACGCGGCACGTTGCCTTGCGTCAACGCGAGCGACCTACGTGCTGTAGGTACGCTGGGAACGCGTGGGCGCCATGTTGCGGACGCGTCGCCAACAGCAAGCATATTCCAGCCCTTAGATGTTATGGCTGGCTAGTCAGAGTCTCTGTGGAAAGTCCTGGTGTTGTCCATACAGAAGTTCACATAGTCTTTGATGCAGTTTAAGACTATCGATGCCATCTCCACGGGAGCTGCATGCCCCAGTTGTCTGGAGACAGTCCTCAGTCTCTCATTTACCTCTTCAGTTCACACCTTCACTTTCCACATCTGTGGTGGAACTTCCTCAGCCTTGGTGTATGTTGGGGGAGCAGAAGAACGATCTTATCAATTATGAGGCTACAAATCTTACCGAATATCCAAAAATCACCCAC